AGGGGAAGATCTCTACAGATTTAAGATATAAATTGCTAAAGATCAGAAACAAATCAATCTGATCTATTTCAGGGATATCTTTTATTTATTTATTTTTTTTTGCTGAGGAAGACTGGCCCTGAGCTAACATGCATGCCCATCTTCCTCCACTTTATGTGGGACGCTGCCTCAGCATGGCCGGAGAAGCAGTGCGTCGGTGTGTGCTCAGGATGCGAACCCCGGGCCGCCAGCAGCGGAGCACGCGAACTTAACTGCTGCACCACAGGGCCGGCCCCAGGGATATCTTTTAAAAGATACTTTGGGGGCCGGCCCCGTGGCTTGGTGGTTAAGTGAGTGCGCTCCACTGCTGGCGACCTGGGTTCGGATCCCGGGCTCGCACCGACGCGCTGCTTCTCCGGCCATGCTGAGGCCGCGTCCCACAGGCAGCAACTAGAATAGGATGTGCAGCTATGACACACAGCTATCTACTGGGGCTTTGGGGGAAAAATAAATAAATAAAATCTTTAAAAGATACTTTGTGTGCCTTGAGCCAGCCATGATGGCCTAGCAGTTAAAGTTCGGGGTGCTCCACTTTGGCAGCCCACATTCTGCTACTGGGCGTGGAACCACACTGTTGGTGGCCGTGCTGTGCTTACAACTATGTACTGGGGCTGTGGAGGGTGGGGGGAGGGAAAAAAGAGGAAGATTGGCAACAGATATTAGCTTGGGGTAAATCTTGCCCTGCAAAAAAAAAAGATACTTTGTGTACCTTAACTGCAAGATTTCTCTTTGCCTAGCTAGAAGATATTCATAATCCATATTTCTTCTGGCTTGAGACTGGACTCTAGGAATTAAGGGATTAAAAACTGAAATGAAAGGTGAACTTGTTCTAGATGATCACTTTCATTCTTGACGATTAAAACTGATGTTGAAAGCAGTTGCCATAGAGGCTGCCATATTGCAGGCCCTCAGTAAGTGTTACCCGTGTGTCTTTAACGGGTGTCCCGGGAGCGATGAGTAGGTCAGCTCTGGGTGCTTAGACCTGTGGGCTCGCACTTCACTCCCATCAGCCTGTGACTGCAGATGTGTATTTTGGTTTCTAGGTTTATTTTGTAGGAGACCAGGCATCCCTACAAAACACTTTTTCCTCAATCCAGAGTGTTCTGTGTAGCAGTGGGCTATTTTGATGTATAAATCGACGAGATCATTAGATAATCTAGTATTCCAACTCCTCAGTTAACACTTCAACTCAGACCCGGAGAGGATGTGACTTGTCCAAGGTAGAATCACTCTGTGTAGTTAATCAGTGATGTGGCAAGGACTAGAACACAGATCTCTGCATAATCGTCTGTCAATTTCTAAAATGTCTCCCATCTCCATCCCTGGCCAGGGAACAAAGCAAGGCACTATTTTACTGAACTAGTTCAAAATGGTTTTTACAATTAATAAAGATTATAGGTTCTGTATTTGACTTAAGATATTTGCAGAAAATTTGACAGTTAAGAGCTTATACAAATAGATTGTTTAGAAAATCAAGACTAATCGATAGGCAAAGTACATATGCAAACAAGTGAGAAATTATAAACCTCTAAATAGTCAACAGCATGGGGGGCTTAGAAAGCATCATGACAAGTTTGATAGACTGTTGTGCCATCGATAAAATGCTAGTCGTGATGACTTAGAAAGAAGTAATGTTAATCTACTAGGGATTCTGGGTGGGTTCCTTTTATACTTTCTTCTGTAATGTGCCTTGTACTTACTGGGATGTTTTCAGTAAGTTCAAATTTCTTTACATTTAAAGGACTAATTTTATACATAGAATGTTAACTAATGTCAGTTTCTGAAATTCACTTAGTCTGAAATTCACCAGTTTATTTTCTGGCCTATTCAACTACCCAATGAAAGTAGTTATTTTGCTTTTGTTATTCTTGATCTGTACATTAAAACCAGCTGAAATGAGAGTTGGTGCAGATTTAGTGAACTGATAGAAAATGTTTCTGTTACTTGCTAGAACCATCTGAGTGTAAGTTTAAAAAAAGCTTTTCTAAAAACAAAATCAGGGCTGGCCCTGTGGCTTGGTGGTTAAGTGCGCGCGCTGCGATGCTGGCAGCCCGGGTTCGGATCCCGGGTGCGCATTGAGGCACCACTTCTCTGTCCATCCTGGGGCCGAGTCCCACATACAGCAACTAGAAGGGTGTGCAGCTATGACATACAACTATCTACTGGGGCTTTGGGGGCAAAAAATAAAATAAATAAAATCTTTAAAAACAAAATCAGTATCTTAATCGAATGTGTATTTCTTTCCTGTAGAGCCTCTGTTATGCACCTAAAGCCATACTGGAAACTCCAGAAGAAAGCACGACCTCTGGAAATCAGCAAGGAAACTCTGAGAACTCCTCTGAGCCCCCAGGAGGCTATAACTGATGAAACATGCAAAGCTGGCTGCATGAAACCTAGTGTCTTTCCTTCAACCTCTCTTGGGAAAGCATCATCTCGAAAGCCTTCTGGGATCCTTGCTCCAAATGTTCTGTGCAGTATGAGTGGGAAGAGTCCTGTAGAGAGCAGCTTGAATGTTAAAACCAAGAAGAATGCACCATCTGCAACGATCCACCAGGCCGAAGAGGGGGAAGGGCCACTTGATATCGGGGCTGTTGTGAAACCGGGAAATACCAAGGAGAAAATTGCATTCTTTGCAGCCCACCAGTGTAGCAATAGGATAGGATCTATGAAAATAAAGAGCTCCTGGGATATTGATGGGAGAGCTACTAAAAGAAGGAAGAAATCAGGGGATCTTAAAAAAGCCAAGATACACTTAGAAAGGATGAGGGAAGTCAGCAGCAGCAGGTGCTGCCAGCCTGAGCCTTTTGCATGCGGCATCGAGCACTGTTCTGTGCATTATGTGAGTGACAGTGTGGACGGCTTCTCTGCTGGGAGGCCTCTGTCTGTCATACAGATGGTTGCCTTCCTCGAGCAAAGAGCCAGTGCTCTGCTAGCCAGTTGTTCGAAAACCTGCACTAGCTCGTCTGCTGTGGGGAGGTTTTCTGGGCAATCCAGAGGTGTGCCCCCAGCCACGGAGCCCTTCTCTGCCCCAGGAGAATGTGGGGAACCCAGGGAAAGGGGAAATCCTGAGGTTGGTGAACCACAGAGTGAGCCAGTTCGTGTCCTCGACATGGTAGCCAGGCTGGAGTCTGAGTGCCTGAAGCGGCAGAGCCAGCGTGAGCCTGGAACCCTCTCCAGGAATAACAGCTTCCGGCGCAACGTGGGCCGTGTGTTGCTTGCAAATGGCACTCAGGCTAATGAAAGCAAAACACACAAAGGTGCTGTGGAGGCAGCTGGCACTCAGGTGAATCTTGTGGTGTCTGTGTCTGTCGATTGTGGCGCCGCAGGAGCTGACCATGGTTCTCCTAAAGGGGACCGGGCCTGGGCCAGGGCTCCTCGGGGCTGTCCCTCACTGCCAGCAGGGGTGCCTTTCCACACGGGCAGTGCAGATTTAGAGCCAGATCAGCAAACCGCCATGAAAAGCAGCAATAGATTTGATGTGGAAATGACAGAGGAGCTTGCTCGGTCACCTTTCCCTCACACCTGTCCTCAAGCCATTGAATTGCCCGCAGATGCCACTGATTGTATGAGTAGAGCGCTTGTGCCGCCTTCTAGCCAGAGTCTTGACCAGAGAAGAAAAGAATCTTTGTGCATTAGTATCACTGTGTCCAAGGTAGAAAAAGACCAGCCTTCTCCTTTAAAGTCCTGTGAAGACCCAATTCCAGGGATGTTGTTCTTCTTGCCGCCCGGGCAGCACCAGTTGGACTGTTCACAGCTGAATGAAGGCACAAGCGAGTCCCCCGAGGCCAGCCAGCTTGAAGATGCTGCTGAGGGTGGCAGTGCATCTGAGGAGAAGAGGGTTTCAGCTGAGTCATTTCTCCCGCTAGCCTCTCCAGTGCAAAGTACATTAACAGTGCTCGAGGCATCCAGTTGGAAGAAGCAGGTATCTCATGACTTTCTAGAGACCAGGTTTAAAATCCAGCAGCTTCTGGAGCCTCAGCAGTACATGGCCTTTCTGCCCCACCACATTATGGTGAAAATCTTCAGGTTACTTCCCACCAAGAGTTTAGTGGCTCTTAAATGTACCTGCTGCTATTTCAAGTTCATCATTGAATACTACAACATCAGGCCAGCAGATTCTCGCTGGGTTCGAGATCCACGCTACAGAGAGGATCCTTGCAAGCAGTGCAAGAAAAAATATGTGAAAGGGGATGTGTCCCTGTGCCGGTGGCACCCCAAGCCCTATTGCCAGGCATTGCCCTATGGGCCAGGGTACTGGATGTGCTGCCACCGCTCTCAGAAGGGCTTCCCTGGCTGTAAGCTGGGGCTTCACGACAATCACTGGGTCCCTGCTTGCCACAGCTTCAATCGGGCAATCCACAAGAAAGCCAAAGGGACTGAAACCGAAGAGGAGTACTAAAGTCTCTGTGAGAGGCGCCAAAAGGACTGAGTTTTAAAACTGCTAAACCACCACCCGGAGATCCCATTCAAGTGAATGTTGCCTCTCTAGGAGAATCTGCACCTACTCCCTCAGGACTGCCATTGCTGAGGCATTTTTTTAAACTCTTAATTTACAAGCTGTACAAGAAAATTGGTCTCGTTATCTATAGTGGCGCCTCACATTTGATCCAGGGTGGAATCCCACAGTTTGAGTCACTGGGCTGTGAATAACTAAGTCTGTTTTCCCAAATCAAATCCATCCTCAAAGGACAAAGACTTGCCCCCATAAGGACATCCACAAGAGTTCATAAAAGACTATGCAGGCAGTCCCCCAAAAGGGGTTCCAAAAATGTTTCAGAGCACTGGCACCACAGTGCCCTGTGAAAAGAAGAGCAGCCCTTTTGGATGAAAAGTCTGCTTACAAAGGAAAAGTCAGGCACCTTACCCTAGACCTCGTATGCTGATCTGTGAGACTGATGTTTGTGGTTGGAGGTGATTTCTTGCCCTGTGGTGTTTACAGTGTATATAATGGTTGTGTTTTCATAGGGCGATGAAAGTGCACAGTGAACCCGAGCGCCTTTACCTGAGATGAGTGCTTTTGGCCCCTCTGTAAATGACACTATTAAAATCCAGTTGTATATAGTGGACGGCTGACTAAACAAAATCACCACAACGCAGCTAGGATAGTGTTGCGGCTATAGTTGTGTGTTTTTTTATTGTCTTGTCTCAAATTTGTACATCCTGTATAAAATATGAATGTTTTCCAAATAAACTATGAATGTTTCCTGTATAATATATGAATGTTTCTGAGAAGAAACTCTAAATATAGTTAAGAAGTTAATGTGTTGAAAAGATACCAAATGTTTTAACTGGACAACCTTAGAATTAGCATAGAGAACAATCCTTTGTTATATTTTAGTGATCCACCAAGAATGAGAGAATATTATATAGTCAGATTATAACATTCTTCTCTATTTTATTCTTTGTCTGGTTACAAATTTTTTTAAACCTCAATAAAAACATGCATATTAAATGGGACCTGAGTTTTGCAAATTTTTTTTCCTCCTTTTTTGAGGTAATATTGAAGAAGGATGTTGTGAACTGAGTCAAAGAGTTAAAAATTTTTTGAATTGTTAGGGGGTGAGGGAGAAAATTTTTTTTGCTACCAAAATGACACCATCTTCATTTAACATTGTGAGCTTACATTTTTTGCAACCCTTTAACACTTATTTTGAACTTGTTGTCTGCCTGACACCCACTGTATTTCCTGTTGGATGAGGTGTATTATCTAGGATATTCTTACAACTTGTCCAGGCATAATTAGTTAATCGATCAGAAGTCATTGAGGATACATTCAGGCCTGTGGTCATGTAATGTTGGCGGGGTTGGAAGGTACTGGGCACCAGAAAGCTGCTGTGAGGGCCTGAAAACTATGTTTGGCCTGTTCTGCTAAGCAGAGTGGGGCAAGGCGAGCCGGGTGGACCAAGTTCTCCGTGGCTGTGGTGGTGGGGTGGCCACGGAGCGGCTTCCAGACTGGAATACCCCTCGGCTGCTTCTGCCCTTATCCTTAGGCAGGAGCTGCTCCTCCCTGAAAAGGCCGTACTAACGCTGGAAAGTGTCTCAGTGCTGAGCAAGTCTGCCCCCGTCAGGCACATGACGGTACCTCTGACGTGCAGACTGGCTGGCGCCCGCAGGCTCATTCATGGTCTGGGACACAGAACCGAGAGGCCGAGAACAGCTTGCTTTTCCTTCAAGGTCTCAGTGTCCTTCCTCGTGCCTCGGCCCCGCTGGGGTGCAGCGGAGCCCGGGCTGAAGCTGACGGTGCCCGTCCTCCTCCCTGGGGCAGGCTCAGCGTGCCTTCCTGATGGGGCTCTTGTGATTCCGGATGTAGGATTCAAGGAGATAAGCACATGCAGGCCTGGGAGGACAGCTTGTCGTGGGGCAAGTGCCCAGAAAACGTTAGCTGTCACGGTGACTGGCTGGCAGTCCTGCGTTTGCCCAGGGTCGACACACAGGATAAACAAACGACTCCCTTGGTTGGTTTTCCCTTCAGCCATTCCGGATCTGGTTTTCACGTGGGACGCAAAGCTGTGACTCTGTGAGGGGCTGAAGTGACCAAGAGCAGAGGGTACAGTAGGAATGCCCCCACTCCATCTTGGCGTGCAGTTCTTGGGGTCCTCAGAAATCAGTGATGACCCCTCCTGAACTATGTGGCAGGACCCAGCTCCCAGTGCTGTCCATGTGAATGGTAGAGGATTTTAGCAGGTGGCCTCAGAGGGCACCTCTCTCCCTGGTCTTCCTTTCTAGACGAGTGGCGCTCTCCCCTGAGGAGAAAGACGCCGTGCTTCAGAGCCCCCTAGTGCCAAGCTGGGGAAGCCGGCCCCTTCTATTGGCTGCAACAGAGCAGCACCACCTGCCTTCCTGCACTGCTGTCGAGTCCTAGACTCTTAGACGTGTAGGAAAGGAAATGACCATGTGGGCACCAGAACCCTAGCCACCTCCCCACCCCCGCCCCGCCCTGTGGGGACACAAATAGAGAAAACTTCCCCCTTCAGCTTTTGCTCAGAGGCTCTAATACGCCTGGCCCAGTTTTTCTCTCCCACCCCTCACTTCGCCATTTGAAAGAAAAAAACCAGCACCAGAGAAATCTGCAAGAGTCAGAGCGCACCTCCCCCCTGCCTCTGGGGCAGTTTGGTTTTGTCCCCTGCCCACTGGATGAGACCAGATAACCAAGGCAGGGACGAAATGGAAATGGGAAAACAGCTAAAAATTATTTTCAGGTCTTGTCAAAATGGCGTTAAAATGGCCATGGTGAAAGGATTGTTCGAAATTGACCACACACCCTGCTTAGCACTTGGACAGCTCTGTGCTGTCAATGTTGACAGCCACCTTGTTCGGCTGGGCACCCTTCAGCACCCTGTGCTTGCCTCCGCCAAGCGCCTCCTCTTGTATGTGGATCTCGCTCCCCGCAGCGTCCTGGGCTCAGAGGGCAGCTGGTCACGCCATTCTCCCCCCCCCCCCAGGGCCTCACCCAGTCCACACTCCATAAAATGTTTCTTTTCCTCTCTAGTGACCATCTTAATGTGAGGGGTGTTGGCAGGTTGTGACTGCTCTGGCTTAAACTGTAATTTTCCATCTAGTACGAGAAAACTGAAGGGGGGATAAAGGGATCAAGGATGATGTTTGTTTTCCTCTGGCCACAGCTGGTTCCATGGGAGCACTCGTGGCTAGGGATGCGCCCATAGCAGCCCTGTGAGTTGTGCTGGGTAGCTGTCAGTTGTGCATCTGGTGTGACCTGGGCTCTGTTGTCAGTGGTTCCCCTGGAGCAGGCTGCTTCGGGCTTTCTGTCTGCAGGAGGCTGTGGGGTGATGGTTTCATTTCGCATGATCGAGGAGTTCCCTTCCTGGGCTCTGTCCAACCACGCCTTCTAACTTGGACTCGTGAGGGCCTCCTTGCCAAACTTTTTGGACTAGCTTGGACCAGTTTTTATTTTTTATTATGTGGGTATTCCAAGGCGTTTTCCACAGCTTCAATTGCCTTCATTCCTTCTTCACTCAACAGACTGGCTAGCTGTCCTCTCCTTCATCCCACAGCTTGCCTCAAAAACAGAATAAAGCCAGCCTGCACCAAGACCCTGCCTACTGTATACCGCAGACTGCACCTATGGGAGCTGATGTTATGTAGCTCCTACTGTCTTTCAGGTACCATGCTGTGTTTAAATGCATTCTCTCCCGGACACAGCGCCTGGCTCTCGGGCAATCTCAGCTTCTATTCCTGCTTTTCTTTTGGCTTCAAACAAGCTAGTGGTGCAGTCTCTGTGAGCTGGTGCAAGTACCTGTGTGGGAAACGTGCAACCCCATCTAGTGACATGCACGCCATTCCTAAGCTTGTGGCCATAGCTGGTGTTTGCACAACCTCATGGGAAGAACAACATTACTGTGGTGATCCACCCTTGGGTGACTGCCAGTGTATTTATACCTAACTGGGTTTAGCAAGACCACAGTTAGGCAGCACCCTTATTCTAGGTCGTTGGTTTGACCTTAGTGTTATTGCAGAGGAGCAGAGCCACTAGAGCTGGTCGCTGGAAGGGGGGGCGGGTGGTAGGAGCAGAGAGATGGCAACTTTACACTGAAACAACCCTGGAGAGCTGTGATGTGAATCTATTTGGAAAGCAAACAACTCTCCTTCCCCCCAGGCCAAAGGCCGCTCATCTATTCTTTACTTAGCAGAGAAGAGGCCTCAGAACAAATTAGTCTGGGGACACTTTGTCTCAATTCTTTTGGGAATAAGGTGGGCTATAAAAGTTAAAAATTAGAAGATTCTACTAAACGTTTGGCTTTTCTCTTTGGAATGATAAAACAGCAGGGATTAGGTTCTAAGTTTAGCATTTAGGGGGGGAAATGGCATTCAGTTGAAATCACTCTTGGAAATCCTGTGTCCATCACCCAGTAGAGGATGCTCTACACCATGTACAGTGGGTGAGTGTGTAGGTCCTGTCAGAGGAGGTGCTCTTGCTGAGTGATGAGCAGGGTGCAGAAACAGACTTCAGGACTAGCAGATCCTATCTCCCAGTAAATTAGGGCAGAATCACCTGTGCTATTTATATTATTTCTCTCCTTTCTGTACCCCCTCCAACAGAGAAGCAAACAGTTGCTTTACAAACTGGTATTTTCAGATGTCTATTAAGTAGTTTAAAGAGGTTGATGCAGTTCTTCAAAAAGCAAATTCAAAATCAATTCGTTGCCAAACAATCAGTAAAATGCAGAACAAGGTTGTATTTGTTTAGTTCTCATATCCATTATGAGGTTCGATGTCCCATTTGCATAACTGAGTGTTTGCAGTCCGGCGGGGGGAGGGACGAAGCCAGGCCTGGACCACCCAGCCTTCTCTATTCTGGGCCTGAGCCACTGGCTTCTCGGCTGCCCGTCCTCACCAGGCCTTGTCTGCGTGGGCAGCTGGGCGTGATTCTGCTGCAGGGTGCGTGGCCTGCCATGAACAATTCTCCTTCCACTCCAGCCCTGACTGACTCTCCTTCTCAGCAGAGATGGTGACCTGGCTGCCCCAGCACCCAAGCTGGGACCAGCTCCCATGACTTTTCCATTCTCCATGGCCGGTAGTCTTGGCTTCAGGCCCCTCAACTTGTTTCCAGTCTGTGCTCTACAGAGGCTCTGTATTGCACAGGGTCTCAACAAGAAACTGCTGGCACACCCACAATGAGTGAATTCTAGGAGGGTTTATTATAAGGGTGCAGATATAGGGGCGAGCCCTCCCTAACATTTTTGTGGCCCAGGGCAAGAATACAAATAGAAGCCTCCTGCAACACCCCCCATATCTTAATTTTTTTCATATTCATTACATGTTGAAATAATATTTTTGGATATCCTGAGTTAAAATACATAAATGTTACCTTTTTTAATGAGACTACCAGAAACTCTAAAATCACACGTGTGGGTTACATTATTTCCATTGGACAGCACTGCTCTAGATCAGTGCTGCTTAAATAGTAATGTACATATGATTTATTGAAATGAAGATTCTGATTCAGTGGGTCTGAGGTGGCGCCCAAGATCCTGCATTTCTAACAGGCTGCCAAGTGATGCCGGTGCTGCAGGTCCAAGGATCACATCATGAGTACCAAGGCTCTGGAGAAATTTAGGAGCTAAAAGGTCTTGGGCATAGTGTTCTCCGAGACCTCTGTAGGAGCTCTCCAGCTCTTAGCAGGCCTTTTCTTAAAGGCCCTCAAGGGGGTAAGCAGAACTGCCAACTTAAGCCAGTATCAATGTCTCTGAACCAGAAAACAGATGTACTTCCCTCTGAGGGTGGATGCTAGATATGCTCCCTCCTACTTGGAAGGCACCTACAGTTGGCCTTCCATATCCACGGGTTTCACATCTGCACATTCAACCACCCAGATGGAAATTTCGCAGATATGGAGAAACTGAATTGAATCCACAGATGTGAAACCCTCAGATACGGAGGGCCGACTGTCTTCATTGTACTATGCCATTTTATATAAGGGACTTGAGCACCCATGGAGTTTGGTATCTGTGGGGGGTCCTGGAACCAATCCCCTGTGGATACCATGGGCCAAGTGTATTAAACTGCTGACACACAAGATATGCTCTGCTTCTGTCTGTCCTTCATTAACCAGCCTTGGATTGGGAGGTGTGTCTTCCATCTCCTACTTCCAAACCACGCGGCACTGTCTTACCCAAATCGAGAGCCACATACTTGCTTATGCTCTAGAAAGTCTTCCAGATAATGTTTTTAAATTTAGGGGAAGAAACTGCTCCTGGGAAGGGCAGGAAAACCCTTTCTTCAAAATCCAGGTGTCTTCTGGAGACATACAGGAAATGCTAAAAAGCCACATCCCGAGGAGGAGGTAACAAACAATCTGATATGGATTATCAATGCCTCAGCCGCAGGACCCTTCATGGCTTTGAGCTGCTATCCCTCACCTGGCTCCAGACCATTTTTCCCCACTGACCTAGTGCTGTCAAATCCCTCCTGCCTATTTCTCACTTTTCAAAGGGGACCATTCAAACTCTCTGTCAGCATTTCCCCACCAGACTCTCTCTCACTCCTTCCTACAAAAAGCACAGCACAGAAGCCACTGATGTGCTGCTTGATGTTGTACCATCCCTTCTCGTCCAGAAAAGACTGGCTCACTGCTGGCTTCTGCTTAAAAAAAAACAAACTCCTCTTCATGTATGGCACTCGAAGCCGATGGTGACCCCTCCCTCTTTCCAGGGGATTTTCTCCCCAGTCCTTAGGACAGGTGCTGGCGGCGGCTTTCTCTGAGCGTTTCATAGCGGAGGTTCAGATGACTTGCCTAAGAGCCCAGTTTCTAATTTCCTGGCACATTTTGTTGATGCCACTTTAAAGTGACCTCCCCAACCACGAGGGACAAATTTATCCCCGGTTCTTCCCATCTGCTTCAACCTGCGTCCTGCGTCAACCATGATGTAACTCCAGGGCTGGGGATCTCCATGTGTACACTGGATGGGATCCTGTTTTTAACTGTTGCCCGAAGAGACTGGAAAACACCAACACGGAAGCACACGCCCTATTCAGGACCCTTCCATTTCCTTGCCTGTTTCCTCCTGCTGCTGGCCGGTCTTCCACTGCACGTAGAGGAGGAGGATGACCTGGCAACGGTTTCTCTGTATTTCTCCAAGTTGGCCTGGCTGTTCCACAGTAGTCACTCTTGGTATCCCCTGTCCACCCGCAAGTAGCCCCTCTCCATAATAATCTAACCTGAAAGGTACTGATTATCCATCCGGGAGAGACTAGTTACCAAAAAAAAAAAAAAAAAAAAGAGGGATTCTGCAAAACTCCTTGGTTCTCCTCTCAGCTTGACAGATCCCCTCTAACCGCTAACATTTCTCTTTCTCTCTTGTCCTGAAGAAAGTCTGGGCAGGTTCCATATGGGCAACCTAGAGACCCCATTCCTGCCTCCCCAGGGGGCTACTGCAAGACACCAAGCCACTACAGGGCACAAGCATCATGTGATGGCTACCGAAGAAAAATGCATCTTTAGAGAAAGTATGTAACTGGTGAGCAACCAGTTTCCCAGCTTACTAAAGATGGACCATTATCATTAATACCACCATGATCTATAATTTTAAAAAAGTACCAACAGGCATTTTTTCCCTACCTGGCAAAAAATTCTAAAAAAAATTGTCCTATAATTTGTATAAAATAGGGTTAGATCTCATTCTCGCTACCTTCAATGTATCAGCAGAAATCAATAATCAGAGCTTGAAAAAGACATACGTGTTAGCAAAGTACTGTTAAAAGATTTATTGCAATAATATGATAAGACTTTAGAGAACATTTGTATGACTCAAACTGGTTTGGAAGTCGCACAGCAGTAGGAAATTCCTGCAACATGACACCACGAGGGTACTGTGGTTCTTTCAACAGCATGCCACTGAATGCTTGTTCCCAAATTATTGAGACTCGAATCCTGAAATGAAACCTGTCTGCTATACCCACTGCTGATATACCGTTTTCCCCTTAACTCACTGATGTGTAAAACTTTTCTTAGTTATATTCCATTATAAAAAAAATCTTTAACAGATCCTTTTAACAGCATATTTGGTGCCTGTGGATTTTTATTAGTATTACCTTGTTTCAACAAATCACTTTAATATGGAAAACATAACCAAGTTCTATGGCTTTTTGTTTAAAAAAAAATACCAGTTTCAATTTTTACAAAAGCTGTTTATATATGGTTCTGGCACCTACATGAAAGATTTTAATGAGCAGCAAAGAGAGTAGAAAAAAACAGTGGTTCAAATGCATATGTAAGAATATTTACAGGGTGGATCCAGTGCAAAATAATGAAAACCAAAATATGTCAGCAGTGTAAGCCAGTATGTTGGGTGTTCAAATACACTAAAGGGTTTGATCATTTAACCCTAAGTAAAGTGCCTCTAGTTGATATTAACAACAAAAAAATATACCCTATCAATCCCTAACTTTTCCATATCCTTTTAAGTTTTGTTGAATTACTCTAGATATGAGTTTGTGATCTCTGGATTCTATTTTTTAGCTTCATCTCACATCATGGTTTCACAAGAGGCTTACTTGAGAAAAACCATGACTATTGTGCATCTTTCAGCAGCGAGCCCCAAATCCTAGTCTTCTGATTCTTGAGACTAAGCTGTTCTTTTTGAGGGCTGAAGTGCCTAGCCAACTCTTCTCTCATGGGATTTTAAGTTCATTCGGCATTTGTTCGAGTCCACCCTCCCCACTCCCTATGAACTACAGACCCGGAGGGTGCAGTGTGAGCCCAGCAGTCACGAAGCTGAGCACTTGAAACAGACGCCAGCTATGTGAGAGCCCACCGGGGAAAGCCCACTTCCTTCCCTCTGGTGAAAAGTCATGTAGTCGGGAACATGGGACTCCGGGAGAGGAACAAACACCCTTCTTCTGCAAGTCTACCCAAAACTCTACCCGCCAGTGAATATACTAACAGCACAAGCTGTAGATATAGCAGCTTGGATTTGGAGGCCAAGTATCAACTGTAATCATCACAATGAGAAGAGAGGCGGGGGCAGGGCCAACTTCCAGCTGATGTATCTGAGGCATGATCGCGCTAATCACACTAACAAGATACGGTAATAATGCCTGTCAGGAACTCTTCATAGGGCTTCTTTTTGTAGTTGTTACATAGGATTTTTTTTTTTTTGCAGTTATTAAAAATAAAAAACTACTTACATATTTGTACATAATGCCTCTCTACAGTTTTCTTATACGATTGTCAGTAAGAGAATGACAAGACACATTAGCTGAAAATGAGCTCTTGGTGAGGAATAACTCTTTCCATCTGAGCTTTCCCTAGGACAGAGAAGAGCAGTATCAGCTGGGATCACCTGCTCTGCATTTCTGAGCGAAGGTAGTGTCCTTAGAGCTACAATGACCTCTAGGAAACAAATAAGCAGGATGGTTTTCCTGGGAAAAACCTGCCACTTACTAAATCCCTTAGAAAAGAAACTGGACACCAGAAGAATGACCAAAGACCACTTAATTAAGTGGCTTTAACCTGTGCCCAGGCAGGCATTTAGTTTACATAAGGGAATGACCTTTAACGACTTATTTTTCACTCATAGAAAATAAGTTCAATTTCAAAATGCACACAGCTTGGATGGTAGGAATTCAATAATCGAGGTAAGAATGAACTTAATTCCCCTCAGAAGAACACAGTTTTAAAATCTCTAGAACATTATTGCAGCCAGGATTTCTTCTGTTCATGGATGTGGGTCCTAAGGAAAAAAAGACCTTAGTTTCTTTGGTGTGTGGGGAGAAAGAAAAACAGGAATGTCTGACGAGCTATGACAGAGCAGCAAAGTGAAGTAATTTTTAAACTACCCTTCCCTCCCCCCGCGAAAAACACTACCCCTTCCAAACAAAACCAAAATCCTTGACCTAAAGACCAAACATGACCAAACTATAAAGAAATCAAGTATTTCAAATTGCCTGCTGGTTCTCTGTACAAAAAACCAAGGCATAAAAACAAACTCATATTACAGTTTTTATCTTTCAAGCCCTAGTCATCAATTTCCTCGTGATTCACCCTCTAAAATGTAAAGTGTTTAGGAACAGTCCCAGCATCACCAGGACCGACACCTCAGCCCGTCCGTGTGGCCTGTGGCCTGTGACTGGGGAGCCCAAATGGATTTCTGCCTCAACAGAACTGGCCACGTGCACAGGTCCTTCCCCCACCACCAGTCTAGGTAGAAGGACCTTTGACCCTTCCATTCTATTAATTATCATAAGCATGTCGGCCACCACCACTGGCTATTTGACAAATAGAAATGCTTGTCTCCCTGCTTGAAAAAAAAAAAAACAGTTGAACCTCTTTTGTTCCAGGCACTATCTTAACTAAACACATCAAGTGTACTGGAGCCTAGTGGAAGAACTTTCTTGCGGCAAATTTGGCATGTTTCGGTCCATGCTTTTTAACGGTGTCCAGTGTAAGCTTTAAACCAGGAGGTCACCGAGGCTGCGGCAGAGGAGATCATCCCGCCCGCACTGCTGCTAGCGACGGGCGGTGACACCTGGGTGCTCTGGCTCTGGGAGACTTCCACAGGCTGGGAAGGGATATCACAAAACCGGGGGCTCGGCAGGTTCTCCCAGTCCGTGCCCAGGTCGGTCTCCTCGTCACTCATGCGCTCGTCTCCACTCTCATCTGATTCTCCAGCAGCTCCGGGATCCACAAATTCCATGGACTCCTCAAGGTCTGCTCGCACTTCAAAGGGTCCTGACCTGTGTGCAGACAGCGAGGGGCCTCTTCAAGACAACCACCACTCTTACAACACGCGACAATAGGTGACATAAGATCTGACGGGACAGGGGGACCCAGGGCCGTCACTGCACCCGTTCCCTAGTCTGCACTGTGCCCACTGTTGGTCTATAACTGTGTTTTTCTTTACCTAAATAACTGACACCTACTAATGAATAAAATCACGATCCGACACTTGTCTTCAATCCTATCTACTTTATTTGTGAAGACCCCAGATGGAAAAAAGCCCATCCACTGAGACCATCCATGCTGGTGCCAAGTATGATGTCCTACTGTAAAGAGCTGTGGTCGCAATGCTTTCCAGTCACGTGAGGTACACTCTGGCCTATCAGCGGAACAAGTAATGAATGGTACACAAAAAAACTGTACAGATGTTCTCTGCCTTATGGAAGCCTTCAATTATGAAATTCTTAAGACTCAAAAGGGTTAAACAATACGGTTGTGTGCATGTTAGCAGAGCTTCCTTGGATTGGTGTTGACAGCAGGCTCCTGCACACATTTTAAGATATCATCACATAATTTTCTAGGGACACATTTATAACACAGAATGATACATAACTATTTAGAACACATTCAACTGGAATAGTGCATATTTCTGCACTGTATTTCAGGAAAAAACTATTTTTATTTCCCAAGGTCCCTAATGAGGTCCTTACCTCCAAATCTAATGACCTTTCTCAGGCCTCAGCCCCTGTGACAGCTCCTCAGTGCCGCTGTGAAACCCTGTCAGCAAATCCCACTCAGGCCTTCTGCTTTTCCCTTGCCCCCTTTCCAGTGCCCATCAGCTCCCGCCTCAGGGCAGCCAGGCTGCATTTCCTTCAAGTGGGCAATCACCCCACCTACTGCCCCTCCAGGGGATGTCCCCACAGCCCGCTATAGGGTGGGACCAAGTCCCTCGGCAGCCCGTATCTCTCCGCTGTTGTCTCCAGGATAAGGACACAATGCCTCTGCTCATTTCAGAGTTTCACTGATAATTACTTTGGGGAAAATGACAGATTAGCAAAAATAACAGATAGAAATGAGAAATATCCTAGAATTGTACAGCCTGCCATTTTAGTCTATACTCCAAAATCCTTTAGCCTTTATAATGATAAAGCCTAGCGCTGGCCTCCAGTGCACCTCACCAGACCTGCCCCTTCTGATTCGCTTCTTCCAGGGTCAAGTGGCCTTCATTCCCCCAAGTCACCCCTGCTTCCTAGCTGGACACAGCAGTAGTTACTAGCTAACATTTCTGTTCCAGGCAGGTTTTAGATATTTACAAGTCTTAATTAAATTGGAAGATGTGCCACAGGGTTTCCCCTTGGCCTCCAGTGAGCAATTCACATTTCAAAGAGCCCCTCAGACTAGGGCCTCTCAAGTTTACCAGGCCTCCACCCTGCCCAGAAGTCCTTATGTGAAGGGAGAAAACGGGGAGGGAAGTGCTCCCGTCTTTCTATCTTCCCCTGAAAATTTCTCCAACAAACCAATAAGCACTGCAACCAGCATCGTAGCTCTGAGTACCCCTTTTCTGCTTCCTTGAAGTTCCTCTTACAGTGCATTTCTTTTCTCCCTTCCCTTTATCGTTTCCTCGGCCAACAGATCTACTCCAAAGCCTTTTCAGATCCCTCTCTTCCTAGCTCTACTCCCAAACATCCGCTTGCGTGCCAGAGCTGTCTGAGGGTTGCTAACCTCTCAGACTCATCTTCTCAGATGTCTGAGCCAGTCAACCAGGCCCCAAACAGAAGCCAGCTGGAACTGCCCCCTCCTCCCTCATGCTCACCAAGTAAGTCCCCATTCCATCAGCATGTCCCCCAGCCCAGGTCCTCACTGTACCACCATCACTTCCCAGCCAGTCCCATCTCCAGTCAGCCCCGCTCGCCTCAGCTTGCCCAATAGCTGCCTCTCTCCTCGTGGTGTTTGCTTACTAAAAGTGTTCACAGTTTAAGTACCTTAGCTGGGCTCCCTCCTTTCCTAAACACAAGGCTTTCTGATTCTGTCCTGTTGAGCTTTACTGTCCAAGAGGCCTCGGCACCTACCACCAGGGTAGGCCTCCTGATTCCCCCAGACTCCCTTGCAGGCCCAGATCAGCTCTCCTTCCTTCCTTCCTTCCTGCTAGCTCAGAGGCCCAGCCTGTTTCTGTTCTGTTCCTCTGTGATGCCACCTCATCTACTCCTTGGGTCTTTCTCAGCATGAGACTGTCATTGTCCCCAGATCCCCTCTTTAAGGGTTTTCCCAGGAGAGAGGCAGCAGTGATAGATACCCAAGGGGAAATAACACTTGCTCAAAGCAGCGAGCTACCTGCTGGAAGCCACCTAGACTCCAGTTCTCTGCTTGGAATCCCATAGGGCAGAGTCCACTTGGCATGGAGTACCTGCTCAATTAGGTACTTCAAATGAAAAATAAACTAGTGCATGATTCCCAAAGTGGCCAGTTGGAACAATCTGAGTTCCAACGAGTAAACTACATTTCTGAGAACCCACAGGTGAGGACATTTCTCCACTCAATGCCTCTCTCCCATCACTTCTAGCTTAGAGATCTATTATCTGCCCAGCATACCCCGACAGCCACACACATATCACACTGAATTAACCTGCAAAACAAATTAAGTCTTTTTCGCTTAACGTCTGTGGGGAATCAAGATTACAAAATAATTCCTCTAATTTTCAGTTCAGATGAATAACTGGTATATTTTTATTCAAGACCCTGAAGCCAGAGTACTCATTTTCCCATGCTGCTGCAGGGAGTTATTAGTGATCAAGGCAACAAAATGATCTTTTTGGCTTTTTAAGTCTCTTTTGCAAAATATCTTATTTGAAAAATATCATCTGCTCTAATGTAGAACATAAAGAGTGAACCTAGTGTAAACCATAGACTCTGGATGATAATGATGTGTTAATGTAGGTGCCATCATGGTAAAGACTGGCTCAGGTAAGAATGATCAACAGACACTAAATCCAGGGGGAAATTCTGATGAGAAGGGTAACTGCACGGCCTCACAGCGTCTCCACAGACTGCTTGTTAGTTATAAGGAAGGAAAACTATAGGAATTACACAGTGGAGGAGATCAGGAGAGCATCCTGAATGGGTGATCAAAGTCACAACACCTGTGAGATGGCCACTGTGGGCTCTAAAGGGACATCCAGGAGACACTCCCAGCTAGGCAGTGCTCCAGCCTAGAATGCAGAACCTGGATCTCAGTGCAAGGAAACAAACTCAAAATAAAAGTACTGTTTACAAAAAGGACAATTGTTAATGTCATAAAAGACAAAGTAGGCTGTGAAAACGTTTCAGATTTAAAGGAGGTTAAAGAGACACAGCAACTAAATGAACACTGGATCATGTACTAGAAGAGGAAAAATGCTATAAAGGACGTTATCTGGTCCACTGGCAAAATGGGCATATGGGCAGATTATCGTAGCAATGTTAAATTTGCTGATGTTGATAATTGTATTGTGGTTAAATAAGAAAATATCCCTACTTTTAGGAAATACACGTTGAAGTATATAGGGGTCAAGAGCCAGATGTATGTAACTCATTCTCATAAGGTTCAGGAAAAAAAAATATTTGTGTGTATGCATGTATTTACTGAGACAAAGATAGAGACTGCACAAACGATCAAGCAAGTGGGGTAAAATAATAACAAAGGGGAACCTGGGTAAAGGGTTTGTGTGTCTTTGTACTATTTTTATTTTTTGCAACTTTTCTGTAAGTTTGAATTTATTTCAAAGAAAAAAAACTTTCGTTGAATTCAGGATGGGATCCTCAGCAGGAACAGCAAGTCCCACCCAGGTTCCATTCACAATCTCTCTCAGCCTTGATTCTGAGAGGCAGGTGTGAGAAGGAGACTTCTGAAGCTTGGACCTCTCGGCTCACAGACCAGGAACTTGGATGTGACACCAGCCTGGCCGTGTATGTGTACTTCTGTCATACAGAAGCCCTCTAAATGGATAGCTGACTCCAGGAGGGCAAGCCCATAGAAAACTTCAGATCCTCCAAGGAAATCCACCCGTAGTATAATAAGACTGTCTATTTTCCAAAACCACTACCAACACTGGATATCATCTATTCTTTCCATTTTTGCCAAACTGATGGCTGAAAAATGGAAACCTGTTTTGAATTGCATTTCTTTCTTCTTGATTCAGGCTAAAGATTTGCTTCATTTGAATACTGACTACTTTTATTTCTGTTGTGTGAAATACCTGTTTGAATCCTTGTCTGTTCTTCTATTAGGTTGTTTGTCTTTCTTTTATTGATCTGAAAGATTTCTTTAAGTAGTCTAGATTTTAATCCATTGTCTGTTCTTTAGATTGCAAAACATATCTATTCCTTGTTTTTTAACTTTGTTTATATCTTTTACCAGAGACATTTAGACAGTAAAATGCGTAACCCCTTTCTCCTTTATGGTTTTTGGGTTTTGTGGTTTGTTTTGGAATTCCCTCCCCACCCTATGATTATAACACACTGTCTTTTCTCCTATTTATTTTTTTAAAGGTCTTTTACATCATCTGGAATTTATTTTTGTATATGGAATGTGGTATGAATCCAACTTTTTCCCCACATGAATACCCAACTGGCCCACCACAACTGAGCTGCTATCACTACGCAATCCAGCATGCCACCTCTAACGCATACACGATGTTCCCACAGAGACAAGGGTCTGCTGCTGGCCTCTCTTCTCGTCCTCTAATTGCCCCACCTGTTTGCATGCTAACAGCACCCTGTTTCAATTAACTTCATACTGTGTTTTAAAAGAGGCCAAGCTTATCCCGTATCATTCTTTTTCAAAATTTCCTTGCAGACTGTGTTTCTAGTTGAACTTTAGAATCAGCTTGTCAAAGTTCCATGAAATATCTGTTGAAATTCTGATCAGGTTTCCTTTCGGGGAGAAGTGGCATTTTACAATGCTGAGCCTTCCCATCCTAGAAAATCATAAGGGTCTTCACTACCTCACGCCTTCTTTCATTCAGTCCTGCACTTCATACAGTACAGTGCCTGGCAGACACTCAAGAAATACATGTTGAGTAATTAAAAAGTTTCTTAATTTCCTTTATATAGGTTTGCATATATTTTGTAAGGATTATTGCTATATACAGTAGTCCCCCCTTACCATGGTTTTGCTCTACGAAGTTTCAGTTACCTGTAGTCAACCCGAGGTCTGAAAATATTAAATGGAAAATTCCAGAAATAATTCAGAAGTTTTAAATCTCACACCTCCCACTCCATCCCACCCGGGACGTGACTCATCCCTCTGTCCAGTGTATCCATGCTATATACACTACCTGTCCATTACTTACTTAGTAGCCATCTTGTCATCAGATTGACTGTCACAGTATCCCAGTGCTTGTGTTCAAGTCACCCTTATTTTACTTAATAATGGCCCCAAAGCCCACAAGCAGTGATGCTGGCAATTCAGATCTGCCAAAGGGAAGCCGTAAAGTGCTTCCTTTAAGTGAAAAGGTGCAAGTTCTAGAGTTAATAAGGAAGAAAAAAAATCGTATGCCGAGGTTGCTATGATCTTCGCTTTTATTACAGTATATTGTTATAATTGTTCTATTTTATTATTGTTGTTGATCTCTTACTGTGCCTAATTTACAAACTAGACTCATCATAGGTACATCTGTGTAAGAAAAAACATAGTATATATATGGTTTGATACTGTCTGCAGTTTTAGGTATCCACTGGGGGTCTTGGAATATCCATGGGGTCCCCCACGGATAAGGGGGTACTACTGTAATTTATAGTTTTTATTCCTACAGTCAAAGGGACCTCTTTTCTTTTTTTTTTTTTTTGAGGAAGACTGGCCCTGAGCTAACATCTGTTGCCAGTCTTCCTCCTTTTTTCCTTTTTTCTTCCCAAAGTCCCAGTAGATAGTTGCATGTCATAGTTGTACATCCTTCTAGCTGCTCTATGTGGGATGCAGCGTCAGCATGGCTTGATGAGCGGTGCATAGGTCTGCACCCAGGATCCGAACCGGCAAACCCCAGGCGGCCAAAGCGGAACTTGAGAACTTAACTGCTACGCCACCAGGCCGGCCCCAAAACAAACCTCTTTTCCACCACATTTTCTAACTAGTTGTTGTTGGCATGTAAGAAAGCAACTGCTTTTTGTATGTTGATCTTGTATCTAAGTCACCATACTGAACTATCATTTCTAATAATTTTTTATTCTCTTGGATATTCATCTACATATAATCATACCATCTACAATAAGACAATTTATTCTTTCTTTCCAATATAAATACACCTTACTTCTTTGTGAAAATGTTTTGCCTTGGCTCGGCCTCCAGAGCAATGTTAACATAGCAATGATGGTAGGCATCCTTGTTTTTTCCTGACTGTAGAATGCTTCTATTAAATATCTATGTAAGTAACACGTCACTAAGGATAGTTTTTGCTGTAGGTTTATAGTAGATATCCTTTATTCAGAACCTATTTTTTTTTAGATTTTTTTAAGGCATTTAATTTATTTTTCTCCCCGAAGCCCCATTACACAGTTGTATATTCTAGTTGTAAGTCCTTCTAGTTCTTTTACATGAGCCACCAGAGCATGGCTACCGAAGGACAAGTAGTGTGGTTCCACGCCCGGAACTGAACTGAGTGCTGAGGTGGTGAGAGCGCCGAACTTGAACCACTAGGCCGTCAGGGCTGGCTCTGTAATCTATGGGTTTTTTTTTTTTGGTGAGGAAGGTCAGCCCTGAGCTAACATCCATGCCAATCCTCCTCTTTTTGCTGAGGAAGACTGGCCCTGGGCTAACATCCGTGCCCATCTTCCTCCACTTTATATGGGACACCGCCACAGCACGGCTTGATGAGCAGTGCATCGGTGCGCGCCCAGGATCCGAACTCAGGCCGCCAGCAGCGGAGCGCATGCACTTAACCGTTACGCTGCAGGGCTGGCCCCCGTAATCTATTTTTAATTTACTAATAGTTTTCTATCATTATTAACAGGAACTGAATTTCATTCATTGTTTTTCTGGCATCTATCAGGTTGATCCTATGTTTTTCTTCTTTAATCTGTTAACATGATGGAGTACTGTGCACTGGTTAAAAGCATGAATACCTACTACTTGGGAGTCAGCCAGATGTGTGCGGGGCCCTGGCTCCACCACCTTCAGCGGCTCTGTGACCATGGGCAGAGTCACTAACCACACTAAGCCTTAGATACCCCCTGGAAAGTGAGAATAATCATCCTAGCTATGAGTTAACACACGTCAAGTAGTTAGCTCAGTGTCAACAAATATTGGCTCTTATTATTAAGGATATATTTCCTAATGTTGAACTCTTTACAAATAAGGGACAGAGAGGATGGCAAGCAAACCCACAGAAATCAACCACTAAAACTGGCATAGATTTCTAACAGGTTTCTGTGGCTTGTGAACTAATGAATGGGATTTAGGGTAAGGGCCGTGAAGTTCCTAAAAAATGGCACAAAATTCTGGGTGTATGTGCAATTTCCTGGAGAGAGTTCACAGCTTTTTTCCAAAGGAGTCTGTGTTCCAGAAAAGATAACTACTGTTTGGGGGGGAGGGGAGATGATGAGGGAGAAACATGACAATGGTTAAGGGCAGATTACCACGGAAAGTTCCCCGAAACGTGGAGGAAGCCAGGCACCCTGGTAGTGGAGGGGACTCCCCTTGAGCCTTGGTTCCAGTGTCACAGCAGAAGGATGATGGGGAAGGGAGTCCCAAAAGAACTTTCCCATCTTTTATTCTTCTTTGTTCTCTTTCAAAAGTGCAAGTACATTATTAACCAAGTCATATCCACAGAAATGCAGGGACAGACTGCTAAGAGCAAGGAAAAAAGATAAGCACCCAGAGAGGGGGTGCTTGGGTGGTACCCGAGATCAGCCTCATCAATGTCATACTTTTATGGCCTGAGAGACTAAAAAGATCTCAGAGACCAGTCCTGGTTGGTCTTTTTGTTACTGACTCCTATTTTTAAGCTAATGGATTTCAAACTAGTTCATCCCATTAACTTCCAGTACCCTTTATCTCCAACAAATGGCAGCCAGACTGACTCCATGACAAAAAGAAAACTGTGAAGAACTGTCATGACGGGAAGGAATGAGTAGGCACAAGACAAGATGCACAAGAAACAGAGTAGACACTAGGCAGGGCTAGAGAAGAAACAGACGTGGATTCAAAGAAATGGCTTTTGGTCTTCAGGGAAGGCATAAGAAGGGCCCACTCCAGGAACATCTGCGTTCTTCTCATCTGTTTTAGGTGTTAAGAATGTGTGATATTAATTTGCTCTGAGAAGTGATTATGTAAGGACCATAACGGTTCAAATATGATTAGCCATCGTTTCCTTCTGTGCAGGACTGCATTATTTTTGTCCTTTTTGGAGAGTCTGGGGCTGGAGACCAGGCCCCTGTGCCCTGCCAACAAATCGACTTAAAAGTACTCACAACAGTACTACTTAGAGAAAAGCAACCAACATCCTTCTTACCTGCCTAGGTGTTCAGAGTTCGGACTGACCAGGTACATTAGATTCCTGAGGGTATGCAGTGGTTGTAATTGGTCTAAATTTACATGCTAGAAAAAGCAAAACATTGATTAATATTTTCAACCATGTAACAAATCAAAAATCAGCCCACAGCACATTTTCCATACCTGAGAGAAGCATAGGTAAAGAATATTTGCATTTAGCTTCTTCACTGCTCGAGTAAATTTCTGTCTGCTGAGATTTTCCCCACAAAATTCACTGTAAAGCAAACATATAATTTGTAAAGTTGTATTTTTTGGAGGAAATTCTAACGTTCATGTTAAAACGTTTGTTCTGAAGAGTATACTTTATACCACCAGTTCAGTATAAGACATACCCCATTGCCCCTTGCCTCTTAATAAATTGCACCGAACAGAAACTTTCTAGGAATGAATTCCTGCCCTCATGGAGAGCAGTTTCACTGCATCTATAAAAATCACAACTGCATATTCCCTTTGACCAAGCAACGCCACTTCTGAAAACTTATCCTACGCAAATACTTTGCACACTAATGAAATGATGAATATACAAGATTGTTCCTTGAAGTACAAATAGGGGACAGGTAAGATCTTGGCACATTTACAAAGGAAAACTCTGCAACCGTCCACTTGATGCAGAACGAGAGCTGAAGGCTCAAAACGGCCCCACGCAATGAGCACTCTCCCCTCCTTGCTGCTCTCCGCCGCTCTCCTCTCTGCTGGAAGCTCACTCTCCCCAGGGCTTGGCACTCGCCATCCTCTCTGCCCGAAGTCTCTTTCCCTCAGGGCCCACGTGGCTTGCTCCCTCCCTCCCTCAGGTTCTCACGTGATCACATACCTGCCCACTCAAACGCAGCAAGCCCTCCCCGGCCTCCACACTCCCTCTCACCTGCTTTAATGTTCTCCACAGCACTCATCACCATCTGACATACTGTTTATTATTTGTCCCTCCATTAAAATGTAAGTGCCAAGAGGGCAGGGATTCTGTTCTCACTACTACTCAGTGCCTAGAACAGTGCCTGGCACACAGTAGGTGCTCAATAAATATTTGTTAAACTTAAAAAGCAAGGTACACAACACCTTAGTATAACACGGTAACTTTTATGTTTAAAAGGAGAGGGAGATGGTAATAATACATATTTATATTTACTTGAAATGCAAGGATAACTAGAGGGAGGTAGGAAGGTCTTAGTAGGAACTGGATAAACTGTAAACCTTTACATTTTTTTGAATTATAAATGTTTTTTATTTTTAAAAAATCAAAAAAATATTCAAGTGTTACAGTTTACCCAGTTCTTACACATGAGCGTAACTTCTGAATACCTGGTTTTTCCTTCAATTATTTTTTCAAGTCGGAGAATTCTCTGTGGTCTTCTCAAAGACTTCACATGCAGTTGTAAGATAACGAAACAAACCTGCACATTAGCTAATGCTTTTGAAATTAATCTCAATATTTCACAGTCAGACGTTTTCTGTCTTGGTAATACTTAAATTCTTAGTTTTGGTTTAATTAGAATAAAAAACACAATAGGAACATGCGAGATCCATGACAAAGATAACATCACCATTTCAATGACTTGCCTGTTGCACAGCTTTTTGGGAAGATTTACGTCAAGTATGTGAGACACAATGCTGACCAGCTGAGTCGCGTAGCACAACGCAGCACTGATCGTGTAAGCAGGGTTATTATGCTCCATGTCTACAGTATAAAAACAACCACCACACACAAAACAACTTTCATTTCAACAAAAATATTAATGAACTTAGATTTTATGATTTGTAATTCTGTCATTACATTACTGATGGCTACGTTTTACTCCTTACTAATAAAAGGTCCATGGCCAGACATTAATGCTTCATTGTTTATGGTTTTTGCTGAGTGGAATGTAACCTAAGCAAATGGGCTTAAATAGGCCCAGCATAAATGAAATTAGAGTCTGAACTGCTTGGACCTGATAATGTAGTATTTATCAGAACAATTAATGCCCAACTTCAATGTCACCTCCTCAGAGAGGCCCCCCTGACTACCCTCTGGAAAAGCAGTCCCTTCCTCTGCAGCCCTGCCCCGTGGCAGTGCTGGTTCTGCCCAGGGCGTGCACTCAGGGTACGGGGCCTGGATCATCATCTGCTTCCCGGCCTCTCCACAGAAAGGCAAAGGACTACACCTGTTCTGGTGACCTCACCTGTGTATCACCAGCACCAGCACAGTGCACCACAGAAAAGCACCTACTCACTCAATATCTGCTGAAGGACTAAATGAACAATCCTTCTCCACCAAAGAGAAGCTACAGGTGTGTTTTTTTCGTTTTTTGTTTTTTTAAAGATTTTATTTATTTATTTATTTTCCCCCCAAAGCCCCAGGAGATAGTTGTATGTCATAGCTGCACATCCTTCTAGTTGCTGTATGTGGGACGCGGCCTCAGCATGGCCGGAGAAGTGGTGCGTCAGTGCGCGCCCGGGATCCAAACCTGGGCCGCCAGCAGCGGAGGCGCACTTAACTGCTAAGCCACGGGGCCGGCCCAGCTACAGGTGTTTTAAAGGGTTTTCCTATTAGGGTATTTCAACCTCCATTTAGGACTGCTAAAACAAGCTCTTTACAAAATTACAAACTATAGAAATGGGACTCAATAGGCTAAATACACTTCTTTAAACACTGAGGTCTTTTTATACAAATAAAGCAGTATCGACCCCCAAGAGGTGAAATATCTAAAAAATATATATTTTCAGTCCATAAACTGATGGATAAACAAAATGTGGTATATCTATACAACAGAATATTTAGTCATAAAAAGAATGAAATGCTGATACACGCTACAATGTGTTTGAACCTTGAAAACATTAAGTGAAAAAAGCCAGACACAAAACACCACGTATTGTATGATCCCATTTATATGAAATGTCCAGAATAGACACATCTATAGATACAGAAAGCAGGTTAGTGGTTACCAAGGGCCAGGAGGAGGGCAGAAGAGGAAGTGACTGCTTCGTGCCCTGGAACCAGACAGAGGTGATAGCTGCAAAACACTGTGAATGTACTAAGTGCCACTGAATTGTTCACTTTAAAATGGTTCATTTTGTTATGCAAATTTTATCTCAATTAAACAATACATACAGGGCCGGCCCAGTGGCATAGCAGTTAAGTTCGTGCATTCCGCTTGGGTGGCCCGGGGTTCGCAGGTTCAGATCCTGGGCACCTACCTAGTCACTGCTCATCAGGCCATGCTGAGGCAGTGTCCCATAGAGAAGAGCTACAAAATCTACAACTATGACATACAACTATGTACTGGGGCTTTGGGGAGAAAAAAGAAAAAGAGGAAGACTGGCAACAGATGTTAGTACAGGGCCAATCTTCCTCAAAAATAAAATAAAATAAAATTCTTATTAAAAAAATACATATAATTATAAAAGTTTTCAAAGACTATTTTGCCTCTTACCAGGCCCCTGTGTGGTTTTCTTCTCTTCCACCCAATTGTAGTAAGCAGAGTAGTCCCCGTTGTTGGGAAGGCTAATCCAAGGCCCTGTAATGCTAATGCTGGTGTCCCCATTGTGATCGTCACAGACCCATCTCCCTGACAGGTAAGTTGTCCTCCGGGCTTCAGCAAGCTTGCTCACAGTGCTGGAGGTCATGGCACTGTCATTCTCTGAAGACACATCTGCGGGATCTCTAAAAACCAGAAGATGCGTATGGATTTCAAGAGACTTGGTTTTGAAGAGCATGCAATATACTTGCCAGATTTGCAGAACATTGGAAAGATACACAGAAGGACAAGAATTTAATTGGAATACACAGATATGCAATTCTGTCAGAGATGAAAATCAAACCAGCTGTGGCACAGAAGCGCACCCTGGCGTGAGGAAGATAGATAGCACCATGGGCTAGAGCCTCAAGTATTAGCTTCTCAAACTATTTAGTCTCAAGACCCCTTTTACATTACCTTGAGCCAACCATGGCACTTCAGTATGTGGCAAAAGTACTTTCTGCATACTTCCCATTTCATCATATGGTACATTAAAAAGATGTGTATGCAAGGGTCAAGACTTAATAAACTTTAAATAAAATTAATAATTTCTACTGCTTCGTCTTGATGTGAAACTGGCTTCTTTTCAAACTGCAAGTACATGGTGGAATACAATGACTATTAATACAGTTTGGCGTCACTGCCAAAAATCTGTCAAGGTGCCAGAGGTTTTACCCACCATGGCTTTGGACCCACCAGTGCAAATGTCAACACGGTGAAAAAGGAAGATAAAGTGTTAGTATTATTATAAAAATAGTTTTGACTGCACAGACCCCCTGAGTCTCAGGGACCCGCAGAGGCCCACAGACCACACTTAGAACTGCTGGCCTAGAGAGTGGAATGCGAATGAGAAGTCCTAGCAGGTACAAACGCACAGTGGAGGGAAGAACACAGCGTGTGTGGGGAGCAAAGGCTATCAGTGCGGTTGTGTGGAGGACGCATGAGGGAAGTGCCAGGAGATGGTGCTGGAAGAGTAGGCAGGAAACAGGCAGACTGGGAAAGGCCTTTTGTGCTGCACTGTTTAGATTTTGTTCTCTTGGCCAGTGGTTCTCAGTCCTTTTTTCCCTCTGCCACCACATGCATGTCAGATAACTCTTCCTGGGCTATCACCAAGAAGACTGGGGGTGAGGGTACTACGGCCAGTTCTAAGCTGTACCTCTATTTCTTCCTTCTCCCACTCAAGGAAGTTTGAGAAATGTTAACAAACAAGAAATCTCACTATAGGAATAACTTCAAAACTATTAGCTTAAAAAAGAATTAATGGTGTATAATAATATACACTAATATATTAAAGTTTTTCTCTGTGTTTTCTTTTCTGCAACTTTGCATTCAGCTGTCAGTCTCCTAAAATCTGTGTCTGAGTCTTTGTTTACTGTAATTTGTTTTAATGTTGATACCTTGGCCCATCAGAATTTAATCTGGCATGTTTCTTTTTTTTTCTTTTTTTTTTGTGAGGAAGATCAGCCCTGAGCTAACATCCGTGCTAATCCTCCTCTTTCTGCCAAGGAAGACTGGCTCTGAGCTAACATCTATTACCAATCTTCCTCCTTTCCTTTTTTTCCCCAAAGCCCCAGTAGATAGTTTACGTCAAAGTTGCACATCCTTCCAGTTGCTGTATGTGGGTTGCGGCCTCAGTATGGCTGGAGAAGCGGTGCGTCGGTGCGCGCCCGGGATCCGAACCTGGGCGGCCAGTAGCGGAGCACGCGCACTTAACCACTAAGCCATGGGGCCGGCCCTGGCATGTTTCTGTTTTGTCGTCTTTTTTCTCCCCAAAGGCCTAGCCAGCTGTCTTTACACCAAATTTTGGATAATCCAACTTTTCCCCACTGATCTAAAATGCCACTTTAGGATCTATTTCTGAACTTTCTATTCTGCTCTACTTTGAATCTGCCTTTTTATTTTTCTGTTTGCCACCTATTACTAATGACAAATTACTTGGTAAGAGGCAGAGAGCAGGCTTTCAAGCCAGAAGCAACAGTCAGACCTTTAAGCTTTTAGGAAGCTAATTCTGGCAACAGACAAAAGGACAGACTCAAGTCGAGGCAGCAAAGACTAGCAGTAGTCCTAACCAGCAACAGTCCGCTGACTGTCCAACTCCAGGGAAAGGTGCTGGAAAGTGAGGGCAATGAAGAGAGATAGGAAAATCTTCACTGGAACAGCCTGACAGTGAGTGACAAAGCAAAGGAAACTCTTCAGGGACAGTTTCCAAACCCAGATGATCATTAGCATCATTTGGAGAAGTTTAAAATAAAAGAATTACGAGATGGACTGGGAGGCTGGAGGTGTGTCCTCTGGAACCTGTATTTTTCAAAAGTTCCTGAGGGACTCTGATGGACAGGCAGGGGGAACTACTGTCTTGTCCATCCCCTCGACTCCTGAGGGTATCCATGCACTACAGCCCACGACTCCACTCCCAGCATCCAGTGCTTGACAGCGGCTCGTTACCAGGAAATGGCTAAGTCAACAAGTCACGCCCACCAAGTAAGAGACCCCAGCACCAGGTGTATCCTTCCATTTCAGCTCATGATTTCTCTGTGAAGTAGGCATTATTATGTCCCCATATAACAGACAAGGAAGTAGGACTTCGAGGTTTAAGGTTCAAGAACCTGCCTCACAGCATACAACTAATCAACAGTCCGACTGTGACTGCAGCCAGCATCAGCCATCAGATGGCTCTTGATCAGGAGTGTGACTCAGCATCTCATTTGAAAGCTCTGTAGAAGGACACAGCCTGGGCCGCACTTCTCCAAGGGCTACCACCCTTCACCCTGGCCACAGCCCCAACTTCGTGCAGTGTATACTGTTTGCTGAAGCAGATAAGACTTCAGTTTGATTACCAGGAAAACCAATGACCCCAGAATGACGACCAATAAACAAGGTGCTAACATATTTGAAAAACACTTGATCTTTGGAACTTGAGTCAAAACACTTGCTTACTGTACCTCACACCAGTCTTTACTTCCTCGATTGGAAAAATGACAGAGGTGAGCTCTAATATATGAGATCGCCGAAGATTTGCCAGACGCTCATAATGACTTCTTAAGTCAATGGTTTTTTTTTCTACCAAGTCACCAAGTTTGCGATTGTGCCTCTGAATTTTCTCCTTTTTCTCTTGATGCCGTTGTGCTCGAGTGTAAAGCTTCTGATTCTTTTCCTTGGTTTTGAGAAGGCTTTCAGAATCTAAAGTGGATAAATCACACTCAACAATTATCTCCATAAATAGCTCCTGGGAACTGCAGAACCCCAGCCCACAAGCATTAAGTGTCTTCCTAAAATCTAAACTCAGAGAAAGCAAAACCTCAACAAAATTAACTAGATAATGTTCAGTAAGTGGAAACTGCGAGTTTAGTTCAAGTAGATATTACACATAAAGCAAAGGGGACCACCACTAAAATGACTCTAAATCTCCACTTGTAATCCTCATTAGCAAGACTCACTCAATGACTATCAAGTTAAAATTTAGTAGAGTATCTGACTTTCTTGCGGTAAACACCGAAGAATGGCCATGTTGGGCAGAAAAGAGATCTAATTCAAGTTCAAAAAACTTACTGGCTACCTGATTTTCCTAAGAAACCTTTCAAGTGTGCCTTGGGTTACATTCAGAGACCAAGGGTTAATCTCACAGCAGGTGGTCATGCAGCAAAGAACTAGACCAAGAGCTCTGAAAAGTTACAATGGAATGCAGCAGCCCCCAGGGCTGTGGGAGCACCTATCCGATGAGCACTTCTCACACACCAGCATTTTAGGCACTGCAAGAGCAAGAAAGGCATGGCCACACAACCAAGAAAGGAGACAGACACTCATCCTGTCTGATTTCTGTCCTTCTTGTGGAGCTCCTTCAGGTTCTGGATCCCAAGACCTACTAGGGTTGTTAGGTTGTAGCTAAACTTTGCTAGGGTAGCAAAAACAAGTAGTAAAATCTCAGACAGACACCTAGGAACAACTTAGGAGGTTCAAACAAGTTCAAAATCAAGCTCATTATTTTTCCAGGAAAGCTTCCTCGTGATACATTTTGTTTTTGTTTTTTTTGGCTGAGGAAGAGTCACCCTGAGCTAACATCTGTTGCCAATCTTCCTCTTTTTGCTTGAGCAAGATTAGCTCTGAGCTAACATCTGCGCCAACCTTCCTGTATTTTGAATGTGGGTTGCCACCACAGCATGGCCGCCAATGAGTGGTGTAGGTCCTTGCCAGGGAACCAAACCCAGGCCGCCGAAGTGGAGCATGCCGGACTTAACCACTAGGCCATGGGGCCGGCCTCATCTGTTGATACACTTTAAGCTAGGTTCCCTACTTCACGATTATTTTTGACCTGTCCAGTGCCTAAATCAATCTCCTGATAGTCAATTCCATGAGCTGTCCTACAGTTCTTTATATCTAGGGCTTTCTTCTCACTCCCACTATCACAATCCTAGTTAATTCTCACCAAAACTCTGCCTATCTCCAGCTTGGCTCCACTCCATGCCTTCACATCCTCTTTCACTCCTTCAGTCTTCATAAACTATAGCCAATGCTCAGCGGTTCTCCACTGCCAATCAAATACAAACCAAACTCCTCAGTCTCAAGGCCACCCTGGAACTGGTATATATTGCACAGTTCCCTCTGCACAGCCTGCACGCCAGCCTCACTCAATTACTAGATGCTTCAAATCCTTTCCACAAGGTGGAACTACTTAAATAAATCTGTGTGTGGATGGATGAATGCTGAACCAGTTATTATTCCCTAAACACTCATCCCCATCTTGTTCTTCAAATCAACGTCTCTCTAGGAGTGCTATTTGCTCCTATTCTCCAAACACTCCAACTATACTCAGTCAGCAAAACCCCCCTTCATAAACACTCCCTAGACCTCTTGCTCCTCGGAACTCTATGGTAATGTGTACACCCAACCTATGGCTCGCAGCTTAGTTCCTTATACCAGGTCCAACCAAAGCCCTGTTGTCTCCCGACTAAAATATAACAAGCATGTAATAAGTCATCCTCTTTGACTGAGGACCACCGAACCCAGGTATTTCATTGTAGACATAAGGTTTCTTATAGTTTTATTTCTCCTTAGATGCATCTCTTTACCATTCCTGCTTAATGTGAATGTCCTGAAGGTTAAGTCTCTCGTTTCATCACACACTTACTTTCCGGCAAGCTCATTCATTTTCACGATCTCTACTGAGCCCTTTGCAAGCGCCCAAGTGAATCTCTCTAGCCATGGCCCTAGGTCACATGGTGGTCAGATTCTCTGAGGACAGTTTCCAATTTAATATCATGACCCCTCATAGAGGCAGGAAATCATCAGTCGCCCAATCTGCACTAGTGCAGACTCAGCACACAGAGTTTAGTTTGTCCCTCTCTCCAACCATCTCCCCCTAAACATGAAAATACACTGATGTCATTTCTGTAACCTACTCTTGCTTGTTTGGGTAAGTAACTGCAGCACAGATCAGCTCAACCCTGAATCCAACTTCCCCAGCTATGCTGTATAATACATCTGTATTATTCTGTATCATGACATCTTAAGTCCAAAGAGTCTGGAGAAATATTCATCAAGCTCTACATTTTATAATTTAGGCCCTTTTCTGAATATGTGATATTTCAACAACAAAGTTAAAAAAAGAAGAAAGACTATTTATGTGTAGGAGGCTCTTAATCTGTGGACCTGAGTCCATGCATAGCTTCTGGAATCCATTAATTCTCTTAAAATGGTTTGCAAAATTTTGTGAGTCTAGTCTAGAGGGTAGCAACGAGATTGCATTTATGTTCTAAAGAGCAGTGGTTCCCAACCCCAGCAGGTCATGAGAACCACCCAGAGCAGGGCTACTCAAAGTGTGGCCTATGGATCCGGGCCATCTGCAAACTTTTACCAGTCAGACAAGAGGACAGAAATACAGAGTAAGTTGTGAAACTTTTTTCTGTGACATGGTAATTTGATATTGCCAGGACGTCCAAGTATGCAATCATTTTTCTAGTAATAAATTTTATTGTATTCTATAAAAGTATCAGTATCAGTTTATGACAGACTGGAAATTAAAGAGAAAAAACTGGTCTTTTACTACAGACAGTTTAAGAACCACTGACCCAGTCTCCACGCGTGAGATTTTAATTTCCTACATCCAGGGTGGGTCCCAGGATTTGCTCTAGATTTCAAAAAGCTCACCAGGGGACTCTCACGATTTGCCAGGGATGGAAACCACCATTATAGGGTCCACTACTTTAGGACCATATCTTTTATTTAGTGTGGTTGTTGCTTTTGTTTTTTGGGGTTAGGAATCTGTTAAAAAGAGCTGGTCAAAGTTATAAACTTGCACATCAGAGAAACTGCAGGCTCAGTCAATCCAGCCATTTCCTGAGGCTCACAGATGACTGGTGGCAACCCCCGGGGGGAACACAGGGGGATGGGGAGACAGGGCAGGCCCACCAATGCGCAGTCACGAGTCCCGACACTGCCTGAAGCAGAGCCTCTGCAGGACACAGGCGACGCTCGGCGGATAATCGGCTCTCTAGCTCTGAGCGCCTCCTCACGTGCTGCCCTGCTCCTTTAGCGTATTAATCCTGTGAAACTTCACGTGAGCACTTGATTAGGACAACCATCTTCAAAGGAAGCTTTTACATCCACTATAAAATACTTGCTTCTGAAAGCAATGAGTACGCAAGAAAGGGATTCACAAAGTATGATGGAGACTCATTCTGAACTTAAAACATTGATCTTCAGAAATACATAGAATATTTCTAAGGATACAGGATTTCTAAGAGGACTCAAATTTTGACAACCACCTATGATAAAGTATGAATTGTACAAATATAATGTAAGATTAATACAGATTAAAATACGTATAAAACTCACTAGGGGAGAAAAAGCCAATATTCTTTTTTTGTTTTTTTTTTGTGAGGAAGACCAGCCCTGAGTTAACATCCGATGCCAATCCTCCTCTTTTGTTTTTTTTGCTGAGGAAGATTGGCCCTGGGCTAACATCCGTGCCCATCTTCCTCCACTTTATATGGGACACTGCCAGGGCGGGGCTTGACAAGCGGTGCGTCGGTGCGCGACCAGGATCCGAACCTGCGAACCCCGGGCCGCCGCAGCGGAGTGCGTGCACTTAACCGCTGCGCCACCGGACAGGCCCAAAAGCCAATATTCTTTACTTCTGAAACGAACTAATAACTATTGTTAAGTAAGTACCAGGTTAGATGCTGAGCTTCCTGTTAGCTAAAGCAGATGGGAAACATCCATTCCCTAACTTTTTTAATTGAGTGAGGGTAGCAGATTATTTACAGGTTTTTACATAAAAATTCCTGATACAAACATTTTACAAGGAGAGGAAGGCAAGCAGTCAGCTTTTCCAGGTTGCTGTTGCCTCCCACCCCTCCTCTTGTCTTTCCTCTCTCTAGTTATCAATCCCACGAAATGCCACACGAGCCCTTTATCAGGGCAGGAGAGTGGGCGGCAAATTACTTACTTTTCTTCATTTCTTCATTTCCTTTACATATTGTTTGTTTCAGCTGCTCAATCCTCATCTTGCAGGACATTATTTTCCATCTCTTAAAAAACGTACGCAATAAATATCAGAAACGGTGGTCTCTTATGATTAATATGATTATCCACCTGGTATCACTACTTATTTTCAGGTATATCTTAGAAAACATAATGAAGAAAAAACCAATATAATTATATTTATTATGGCTTTGTAACTATGGTAGATTACAAAAAGGAAAAAATGCTATTCTGGTTCAGTGCAGAAGTTCCTAGGAAATTAAGAGAGAAAGAGAAATCCACATAGTTGTTTTATTATATGTGTTAATTAGCACAGAGAAAAATGTTGAAGGGATATTCTCTCAACATGCTCTGTCAAATATATAGCTATGGTCACATGCGGCTGTTAAAAGTCAATTAAAATTACATAAAATAAAAAAATTCAGTTCCTTACTCACACGACCCACATGTCAAGTGTTTAACACCATATGTGGCTAATGGCTACCACATTGGTCAGTGTAGACAGAGAACATTTGCATCATCACAGAAAGTCCTACCGACGCACCGCTCTAGACTCTCAGTGCTAGATATGGAGGAGACCATCAACATCACTGTATTATCTCACTGATACAATAAGCAAATATTACTCACAAAATAATAAAAACTGCAATAAAACAGAAGTTAAAAAAAAAAGTACATAACTCACGTAAGATTTCTGGAAAAGCCTGATAAAATTATATGAAACGTGAAATTGCCTCTTTACATTACTGGGGTTTAGGTACAGCTTCCCCCAAGGTGAATAAAGGATCAGTAAAAACGTGACCTAGTAGTAGTTAGTTAAAAAGTATGATTATCTATTCTTTAATGCCGCCATAAATATGGACAACTAAAAGCTTAAACAATGTTCAAATATTTATGGTGTTTAACACTTGTCTAAGTTGTCTGATGGTACGAGATAGCAGATTACAGAGATGTTCTGGTGGGTGAAACTCCAGCCTCTCCAGGGGAGTTGAGAGAGACATTTGAAAACAGATTCATGGGGACTGATGGGTTCAGGAATGAATTGCAATGAGACATCTTCACTTTCAAAAGGTATTAGTCTTTAAGAATCAATGTTGAAGTTTTTGATAGAAAAACTAGAAAATAATACACGGAATTGAGAAAAATGGGGATGAGATTCTTCATAAATAGCCTTTTATGCTCTTTTTCCATACAACATGTTTTGTTTCTATAACATTCAGAGCATGAGCAGAATTCACTTATACCATATATACTCTGTAAGTATTATTTAAAAATTATGAATGATGTTTATTATTGTAAGAAAAATTACACACCACAGAAGAGAAAAAAGTGTTAGCCTGACTCCTTCCCATTCCTCAGGGGTAATCTCAATTAAAGTTTGATGTGCATCTTTTCAGATTTTTTAGGGTATATTTATATTTAAAATACATTCTTACACAAATGAAATCATACTTTACCGTAGCCTACTTTTTGTTTTTCGTTAAAAAATATATTTTGGACATCACTCCACATCAATACATGTAGATAACCACATTCTCTTTAACAGCTACACAGCATCATAATTATTTACCTCATCCTGCCTGATGACTATTTACATTATTTACATATTAACTTCACTACCACGCTGCAGACAACCAGCTTCTTTGCCCATAAATCTCTGCATTAACCTGCATTTTCTTAGGAGAAAAACTGCCAGATATGCGACATGTGCGTTAAAAAAAACCCAACAAACCACCACCAAATTATCCCCCAAACAATATGTCAGTGTATACTCCCACCAACAGTAAAAGTGCTATAAATCAAACTCCTTATTTTCATATGTTGTACTCATTTTTTTCCTAGTTTATGTTCATTTTGCGCAGCATCTTAAACATACAGAACTTTTAAACTCTATGGCTTATAAAGGTCTGCTAACTCCAGATTACATAAATACCCATTTCTTTAAAAATATTTTTATGAATTTACTTTTCACATTTAATTATTAATCCATTTAGAGAGTGTGTGTTTATGAGTAAATAAACACACAAAGGATAGCCCATTGTTCTTTTATTTCTATGTTAATACCAGACTTCATAATTAGCCTTTATGATGGTTCCGTAATTAATTGCCAATACCCTGTTTTTCAGATCTAGATGAAATATTTGAGAAGCCCACACTACAAATATATTCAAATGGAGGAGTGCCAAAAAATGATCAAAAACAAATTTAAATTCAAAATGATTTTTTAAGCTCTACCAACTTAAAAACATGTAATCTCAAGCACAAAGAACATTATTTAAGTTCTTCTTATAGCTTACCAACTGATCTGCTATCCATTTTCCTTCCAGAGCTTTTAACACTCTGTATGGAGAAGAGACATAGAAAATAGGCTCTTAAAATAAGTTTGTGAGGCTCAAAAACAAAATATCAACAACTTTTTAAAAAGTTCTTAGAAATGGCTCCAAATACCAAAGTGGGACTTAAGCATTTAAAAATGTTTTCCAAATTTCCTGTTCTCTACATCTTTTTTCTCACCTCCTTCCTTTTGCAGTTTTAATACTGCCCAGAGCCTTTCTATAAACCTTCACAATAAACTTCTTAACAGCTGGCCTTGGAGCCTTTGTCCTCAGTCATAATCAATATCTTCATCAGTCACAATTAATAATAACAACAGTTACAAGAGAATTCATGATCTAAAATGCTATGATCCGTTTCCAAAGAAATGGCACAAGCCAGCATCTGCAAAAATTTCTTCTACGGAATAAAGTGCTCTATGGGTAAAAACAAAAGTTTATGTGATCGCGTAAGTTACAGAAATGACTGAGCTAAATAATAAATAAATCTAAGCAGGTTTCTTTAACGAAGGGCATCTCAGAAGATTTAATCTGCTCAAATGTGTTCATCAGACCTGGGGGGTGTCTGGAGAACAGTGACTGTGTCAGTTTGGGACAGAAAGTTCTATAGGACAATTCTTAAATCCAGAGGGTGACAGATTCATCAGAGATGCTTGTTAATACCTCAGATTCCTGGGCCTCCCCCCAGACATGCTGAAACAGAATATCTGAGGATAGGATTCCAAGAATCTGCATTTTTAACCATTACCTCACAGTTAATGAATTCTGATGTAGATAATCTGCAGACCACACTTTGCAAAACACTGATACGGAAGAGAGGTAAACGGAGGCACGGATGTCCTATAGGAGCCACCACCACTAATTCAAGCCCAATATGCCCACTGTCCTGGGCCCATTTGCCACACACCAATTATCAGGGCCAGGAGTTTGATCCATCCATCCCATCACTGAGTACCTACTGTCTACCAGGCACTGGGTCTGATCCCAATATTTTCTAGAAACCTGATACCCTTTCCTATTTTGCTTCTCCCAGATGCACCGCTCTTTGAGACTGTATCCTAAATTCATTAAGGTAGCAATCCATATATCTACATATCATAGCACTGAATTAAACCATGTGGTAACCACAAATTAAAAAGCAAAATGAAAACTCACTCTTTTTGAAATTCTTCTTGCTTGTTCTTAAGTTGGCTTAACCTTTCCTTCTTGTCTATAAACCTAGAAGAAAAAAAATCAATGTTTTATTTAAATGTTCATTTTTTTCAGTTCAACGAGATTATGCAAGTTCCTGCGAGTCAATCACTTCTGGAGACTCATCTGGAAATGTCGCTGTCCTGAAAGTAAATATACATCTTCTCAATGGGAGGCACACAGCTGATTACCATCTGGTTATTTCAAAACTAAGTTCAAATTCTCAGCTTTAAAATTCTTTCATGAGCTTATAAAATATGTCTATAGGCTTTTCCCCCCTAAGTTAAATTATCTTCCAAAACATGCACATCAGAGCACTAAAGTGAATTTGAATTCAAGGAAATTGAGGCTTCTCTTCTGAAAATAATTTTAATTAACTCAATTTAATCCAGCTCACACCTATAAATTGGTTCCTTATAATTTTTAAAGTACACTTTTTTTTTCCTCACTAATTTTATTGCTAGTCATTACGGGTGTTAGTTACTTAGTAAAAGTTATCAGAAGGAAGGGATATCACATTGCAGTTCGTTTTCAGTTTGTCAGTCTTCTACCTGTATTTCCTTATTATTTTCTTACCATGACTTTATTTAAGGTTTAGTTTTCCTTTTTTTTTTTTTTTTTGCAGCTTCAGGTAGAAACTTAGATCATCAATTTTAAGCCTCTCTCTTTTTTTTCTTTTTAATTTTTTGTGAAGAAGACTGGCTCTGAGCTAACATCCATTGCTACTCCTCCTCTTTTTGCTGAGGAAGATTAGCCCTGAGCTAATATCTGTGCCCATCTTCCTCTCCTTTGTATGCAGGATGCCGCTACAGCATGGCTTGATGAGCGGTGAGTAGGTCTGCACCCGGGATCCAAACCTGCGAACCCCAGGCCGCCAAAGCAGAGCATGAGAACTTAACCACTACGCCACCGGGCCAGCCCCAAAGCCTCTCTCTTTTAAATATAACCATATAAAGTTATAAATTTCCCCCTAAGTATTGCTTTAGCTAAACCTTAAAATTTTTGATGTGGTGTATTTTTTTTGTGTGTGTGTGTGAGAGGAGATCTGCCCTGTGCTAACATCTGCCAATCCTCCTCTTTTTTTGCTGAGGAAGACTGCCCTTGGGCTAACACCCGTGTCCATCTTCCTCCACTTTATATAGGACGCCGCCACAGCATGGCTCGCCAAGCAGTGCATTGATGCACACCCGGGATCCGAACCGGCGAACCCTGGGCCGCTGCAGCAGAGCATGCGCACTTAACCGCTTGTGTCACCGGGACGGCCCGATGTGGTGTATTTTCATTACCATTTAGTTTGAAATGTCTAATTTTCCATAAAATTTCTTCTTTGACCCATAAGTTATTTAGAAGAGCATTGTTTCATTTCCAGATATATGGGCTTTTCTAGGTAACTTATTGTTATTGTTTTCTCCTTTAATTCTGATGTGGTCACAGAATTTTCTATGAGATTTCAGTCTTTTGATTTGAGACCGCCTTATGGCCTTGCATACGGTGTGCCTTGGTGAAAAGTTCCACATGCGCTTAAAGAGTGTGTATTCTATAGCTGTTGGGTACAGTGTTCTATAAATGTCAACTAGCTGTAGCTGGCTAACAGTGTCATTCAGATCTAGATCTATGCTGTTCAATACGGTAGCCATCAGTCACATGTGGCTACTGAGTACTTAAAATGTGGCTTGTTGCTTAATAAGAATTTGAGTAAAAAAAAAATTGTATGACTAACATCATGCAACTGATTTTGAAATGAGCTAACAGTGGCTCACTAACTATTTTCAAGGAAACAACGATAATGCCACATGCTACAGTACATGATATGGGGTCCAAGATTAGACTTTTGGCTGTCTCCTGAATTCCCAGCCTAAATGAAAACAATTTAACAGCCCTAAAAATCTCTTCCTTAAATTAAGATGATCCAGACATAGAAGTCTCTCTAAAGTACTATTTCTATAACCCCACGTTTGAAACATCCCCAAAGGTATCTACTTCTAAACAGAAGGGATAAAATGGTCTAATTGTGATGCTACCATTTAATAATCAGTAGCTGAAAATGTACAATATATATTAAACAAAAAAGAAAATCAGGCAATATATATGACATAATTATATACTTACAACATGATTAAATTAAAATTAAATGAAAAACTCGGTTCCTCAGTTGCCCTAACCACATTTGAATAGCCGCATAAGGGCAGCTACCTTACTGGACAGCGCAGATACAGAACATCACTGCAGAAAGTTCTACTGGGTAGCACTGCAACGGCTAGTAAGGTGGTAACTGCATGAAACAATATTAGAAAACTCAGGAACTAATGTGAAATGTAGACAAACCCATAGGTTCATCAATTAATTTATCAGGCATTTACTGTGTGCCTGTAACTTACAATAAAGCATCTTCCAGAACATTAAGAAATCTAATTATATATTCTTCTGCAGCTGACTGTCTATTCTTGGACATATTACTGAACTGTTACATGCTTCCATTTCCTTGTAACAAAAACGAGAAACTAATACGGTATTTACTTCTACCTCACTGAGGCAATGTGGTGACTCATGTTCTGATAACCTGAAGGAGATGACAAACTCACAAGACTCATCAAACCGTGCAAACAAAGGACAGGGAGGATAAAATCTTGCTTTTAGAGGCAATAAAAGTCCTCCTTCCAGATCTGTCATAAAAATGCCACTTTGCACTAAAACAAATTGGGATCACAAACAACTCTGTCCAGCTTAATATCGAGCTGGCCGATTCTCCTGGGCTTTGCTAAAAAAAACAAACAAAACATACACACACAGATGACAGCAGAAGAAAACAATTCCTACTGTATCCAACACTTCATGAGTATTGTTCTTCTTCATGAAAGAGGTTAAAATAGGTGGTGTTAACAAACCTAAGTAGCAGACGACATCAAGGAACGTGGCTGGGTCAGCGTTTCAGCTGCTCATCAGCACACTCATCCGTTCTCTGCATTCTCCACCCCACCGACACCAGCTCAACACAAGGCTGACGTGAGGGAAGCCATATTGTAGAAAAGAAACCATTCTGTAACTGATGAATGATCTCTAACTAACGCAGCTGGATATGCACCCTCCAGGGTATGCTCTATAGATTTTACGACCCTTGCAATAAGACAACAACTTTGTTCCTTTGAGTTCCTTAGGAATGTGATGACCCCCAGACAGAGTTTATCTGGTGTGGCCACTCCCACTCTGTAACACCAGAGGGTGAACATTCCTAACCCCCTTACCTGTAGCCCACTGGCCTATATAACTGCTTCAAGATTCTGCACCCCCCTTAAGATGGTTCTTTCGGACATTAGTTGGCCATCTTCCCTCTTGCTAGCAAGCTGTAATAAAATGCCCTTTCTCTGCCACCATCTTGCCTCTTGACAATTGGCTTTTGTCTCACGGCGAGCAGGTCGTGCCCTTTGTGTGATACCACCACCACTCAAGGACATAGATTAAAAATTCATTCCACAGTTCTGTGTTTTCTCAACATGGTTTCCAAGAAGTGGAAAGATTAATAGACAGTCATCATATTCAAACTAGACTTAATGATACATATTTTACCTTAAAAAAAAGGAAGAGAGAAGGACTATTTTATGTACTGTCTTTCAAGTTGGGTTTATTACATAAGATATCTTGTATCTTTTTCCATGTCAGAACCTATCAATTATCCCATTCTTTTTAATAGGTACAAAGAATTTCACTGAATGGACATCATGCAATTTACTTATTGATGAACTCCTGTTGATGAACATTGCCATCACTTCCAAACTTTCACTATTATCAGTAATGCTATAAATGAATATCCTAGTGCATAAATCTTTACAAGCTTTTAGGTTTCTCTATGAGAAATTCCTATAAATAAAATAAACTGCTGGATCAAATATTTACATGCAAAATTCTGGCAGTTATCTTTAAATTTCCTCTGAATCACTTCATATATTTTAGAACCCTGCCAACAGGGAGTAACAGAATCTGTTTTCTCACCCTCTCCCCAAACACTGCACATTTGTTTTTAGTCTTTGCTAACCTATTGGCTTCCTACCCCTTCCTCCCAGACAGTCCATAATGCACGCATTTGCCTTTCTTTAGCTCATTATTAGAAATGTAAATGTCCTTTCCTATCTCACTGGCTACTTTTTTTTCTTATTCACCTATGTCTTTTGTTCATTTTTCTATAGTTTTTTTTTTCCTTTAAGGGTTATTTATTAGGGAAATGAGCCATTTTTCTTTCATACATCTTCAAATTATTTTTTCTCAATCTGCTTTCTGACTACTTATGTTTCTGCTCTACAAAATTTTCCAAACTTTTATGCAGACATTTATCAATTATTTTGTTGTTTAATGACTCTAGTTTCATGTTGTTTTCTGAAAGGAATCGGCCAGTGAGCCTGTACCATGCACCATGGCTTTTACGACATATTTCTATTTTCTCTCACAATTTAAAAATGCCTACTTCCAAGTCTTGGCTATTGTGAATAACGCTGCAATGAACACAGGGGTGCATGTACCTAAGTGCCCATCAAGGGACGAATGGATAAAGAAGATGTGGTATATATACACAATGAAATACTACTCAGCCATAAGAAACGATGAAATCCAGCCATTTGTGACAACATGGATGGACATTGAGGGTATAATGCAAAGTGAAATAAGTCAGAGGGAGAAGGTCAAATACCATATGATTTCCTTCATTAAGTAGTAGATAACAACAACAATAAACAAACACATAGGGACAGAGACTGGATTGGTGGTTACCAGAGGGGAAGGGGGGGGAGGGAGGAGAGTGAAAGGGATAATTCGGTACATGTGTGTGGTTGGTGATGGGTTGTAATTAGTATTTTGGTGGTGAACATGATGTAATCTATGCAGAAATAGAAGTACAATGATGTACACCTGAACTTTTTACAATGTTATAAACCAATGTTACTGCAATAAACAAAAAATTAAAAAAAATAAATAAATAAAATAAATAAATAAATAAAATAAAACATAGGTGGTAAAAATCAGAAAAAAAAAAAATGCCT